GTGAATCTCAAAATTTATGGAGAGTACTGTAATTTTAATGCGTGTATTTTATTGTTTGGTATTATTGCTTTGGGTCATCATAATATTATAATTCTTATAACTATATAAAATTAGAAAACCTTAATATGTTTGGTTTTGCATTCAAGTAACTAATCCAAATTGAGTATATCGATATGTTGTGTGTCAAGTGTTAATTTGATATTGAAATTTTTGAATCTTAAGAATTTGACATTGAAATTTAAATTTTAATTGGCTAAGTTATTATATCTTTAATTTTTTACCTTCATTATTACACAAAATCCCATGATATGATTGGAATTAGCTTTTTAACTTTTTCATTCCAAAAATGGAAATTTTTAGAAAAACAGGCCCGCACAACATTAAAGTTAGCCCAGAAACATTTTTCATTTAATGAGCTGTTTCAAAATTTTAAGTGACTTCGGCCTAAATTTTTGATCTTCGCTCTTAGCCAATCAAAATCAAGAATCTATCGTGACAATTTTGGTGCGGCCAATTATTTAACCGGAGGGACACTCATAAAAATATAAGATTTTATACTATTTATCTTAAAATTTCAAAGCAATAGGATTTGATAATAACAAGTTACAGGGGTTGCTTTTGCCCAGAACTGACACGTTTTATTATCTGAAATAACACAAATGCTAAAGTTGGAATTTATTGACCGACTATCGATATGTCTATGAAGAATATTATACATTCTATTATTTTAAAATTATAATCATTCAGAAAGATGAAAATTTTATAGTTGGCATACTCTCTTGTAGAATAATGTTCGATTTTATCCGCGGGGTTCTAGCTTAATAGTATTGAGATTCGCCATGTAATGCTGAAAGATTGATTATGGTAATTATTCAATTTAATATCAATAATTTTAGGGATAAATTATTGAGATAAAGAGTTGACCCATTCTGCAGTGAGTTATTGAATAAAGAAGGAGCGACTATTCAGAAATCTAAAATCTAAAACTTTCATCAACTGAATTACTGTAAGAGGGAAATAAATAATACACAAACAATAAAAAAAAAAAAAAAAAAGATTAGTGTTATAGTATTATTTATACTAATGAATGAAAATAGTTTCATATATGAAAACATAAAGCAGGCAGAATAGTTTTCAGAACCATTAGCGCGATTTGAATTTTTTGTAAACATAGATAATTTAACTCGCCTCATTAACCAGCGAGATGCCACCAACACTGAGACTATTAAAGATGCCGAAGCGGTAAAAAGCAAAGCGATGGTATACTCTTTGCTAAGATTAAAGAAATAATTTTTGTTCTTAGGTTTGCCAAAGTGTGCAGGTTTTCTTTCTGACGGCGGCATCAGGAGGATTTTATTTGCTTCAGAATAATCAACAGTATCATCGGCTTTCAAAATCAGCCAATGTTGATCATACAAATTTATGCTTGACCTAAAGGAAAAAAAAATGAATATTATTAGTAAAACATGATCAATCATTCAAAACGGACCGCAACAAAAGAATAAATTTACATTTTATCAAGAGGTAGACCAGAAATTTCCTGAAGTTTATATGGTGGATATTTTTGATAAAGTTGAAGAGTTCGAAAAATCAGTTCGTCAACATTAATTTCTTGTGGAAACTTTGATAAAAATGCATGGATAATTGAGCTATCACACTCCAGTAGGAGCAATTCTTTACGACGACTGATAATAACCTTATAATATTACAGGAATGGAATTATATAAGCTATACGAAAAAAAAATGAAAAAACTTATGTTTCTCAAAGAGGTTTTTAAAATTATTACTCTGGCTGATAAATATAAGGCCATCAACGGGTTCGACGCAATAAAAAAGTCAAATAAACGTGTAATCTTGGAGAAATCATGAAGGTCATGACTACACCATGTGAGAACCCAGCTCACACAAAAGTAAGGCATTGTGTTTGACCTATTTCATATAAGGAGTTAGCACGCGACATATTATTTGTACAATGCATGAAAGCTGTTAAATGCTTACCGCCTAAGAAAATTGGAGACCAATGAATCTTCAAGATGTAGTAATGTGTCCAAAAGATCTAATTGATTCATAATAAGATCTAATGACTCATGCATCGCATCCGTTCATTTGGAGTCACGGAATATAAATAATTTAAAATTATATAATATAAAATATACTACTAATAATGTGTATGACTATTTACGTTTTATAAAACAAAAGGATATCTTAAAAGAAACATTGCAATATTTTCACCAGCCTTTATAGCCCCCTCTTTCCCTAATACCTCAAGAAGACTTGTGCACACATCGTGAAAGCCCTATAACAAAGATAATATTAAGATAATTGTATTGATAGAAAGTTATTAAAAAAAAACGTTAGTTACCTGGTAATAAGACAGATTTGGCTGTCTTCGTAGAATTCCTACTATTACTTCATAGAGAACACTTTGTTTTTGTTTTTTTTCTCGGTCATTCAATCCTAAAAAACGGTATAAATTTCAATAAGATTTAATAATAGTTTCTATAGAAAAAAAAAAACCCCCCAAAAAAAAAATAGACATAAAAACCCTTAGGAAAGTGAACGAAGGAACGATTAACGTCAAGTGAAACCTGATATTCGTCTTTATGCATTACTAAAATAAACGAATAAACAAATCAATGTTATTACAATTTAAATAACAATCCTGCCATAATTATAAAATCAATGAGTTGTATATAAATTATTTTCTCACCTTGACTAACATCGATGTTGTAATTCTTATAGTGCAGAAGTAATGGCCTAAAAACAGTATAAGTCGAAATCTTTCAACAAAAGAAAACTACTTGCGAATTAATTAATATACACCAACCAGCATAGTCGACGTAAGCCATTGTTCACAAGACCAGGTCCAGTTATTGCTAGGCGTCGAAGTGCATTCAAATCTTTCTCTAAAATTGCGTCGTTTATGCGATCTATTCGTTTTTGTAAACTATCGACTTTTTTATTATTATGTACGTTTCTGCGACGTAAGGCTTTCTTTCCTTTTTTTGACATCTTAAAGAGCTGTGCAGAAGTAAGTGGTTTTAAGTTTCATAATTTTTATGATTCATAACGACCAAGTATTTATTGAGGTGAAGAGAAAGAGAAGATAGTGATAATGATAATGTAGACGAATTATACACGTGAGTTATTCTTATCGCAATATTTACATGTGTTTTTTGGCGATTTTACCAAATATACCATATAATGGACTGATTGGTCAATTTTTTTTACGTAACCACACAGAAAACACTTTACAAAGCTTTAAATATCTAGCATATTTTTGGGATTTACTCTAACTATATATACTTAAGCTA